CTCGTGTCTGTAAGTCTGTTCCATATTTTATAGCAGCTGCTGTGATGTTATAGATGTTGCTCGAGCATGTAGGAAGAAATTTGGTTTAGTTTGCCCCGAGGATAATGGGTGCTTTGGAGGGAGGAATATTTGTTTGTGCCTGACAGTATCTTGTTGAGGAAAATGGGATCTTTTGTGAATGTTACAGTGGTGGGTAGGGAGTCTGTTTTGCATTCTGAAAATAGAAATGTAAGGCTGATATCCTGGGCAAGTTATGATTTTAATGACAACGCTGTGTTTACCTGGCCTGTGCTCTTAACTGCTGTTGTTCGTCTGTAGCGTCCTTTGCTCCCTTCCCAAAATATCTGTGGAACCATATGCACTCTGAAACACAGCTAAGATACATGCCAGGCTGCTTCTTCACCCTTGTTTCCCACCAGTACAGCATGAAAAATTTGAAGTTGGAAGTTACCATATAAAAGGAGAAAGAAAATTAATTAAAGGTCAGAGTGCTTTAGTGTAGTGAAAATTGAGAGGAGGCAGATACAAAGTTATTCAAATTGCTTTTGACTTCAGGCAGGTCGATTTTCCTATTTCTTGCACGTGTTCCCATGGTAAAAGTAGTATCTCATCAGTCTCATAACTGACCACTAGTATATGTGTTTCAAGCACAGCCAGAAATCCTCCTTTGAAGCTTTGGCCAGGCCCTGCAATCGTCCTGACTTGTCTTTTCTCCATCTTTCCTTCACCTCTGAAGTGGCCTGCAACACCTGGCAAGACCTACTTAGCCTGTATTGTCTGTCAGCTCCTGCCACGCTGCAGAATACAGAGTTAAATCTAAAAATACGCTTAAAAAGAGGTGAGGGCTTTGAGCAAAGTAAAGTAAGCCACTGATTTGGGTCATGAAAGGGAATTGATGTCACTGGTTCTCCGTTGCAGCTTTCTTGTGCTGCGAAGTTCTGTTCTGAGCTGTGAAAATGCAGAGGTGCAGTGGTGAGCAAAGTGGTGCTCAGGACAGGGAAGGGTGGTCTGGCTCCAGTTCTCCCCAGGAGACTGCCCAGATCATGACCTTGTAAGCCTGATGAGAGAAGTCAGGGTGGTATTGAATGCTGTGCAGTTTCGTTTGTCTTCACAGTCTTCAGTGGTAGAAAACTGTCACCCGCTGCTGTCCTTTAAACAAAGGGTGACCGCGGCATCGGGTGATTAAATGCTTCATCCAGAATTACATCAGGAACCTGTGGTGAGCCGGATACTTCCCTCCATCTCTTCTGTCATAGCCTAGCCCATCATCAGGAGACCACTGTTCTAACATAAATCTGGTCAAAAAACCTTAAGCCACTGTGAAAGGAGTCGTGTGCAATTCTTCGCCTGTTACAGAGTGGTTATGTGGCTTCAGTAATGTTTGTTAAGTGCTTTGATATGCTTTGGTGAAGGACAGAGTGTTAATAATTAAAACTGTAAAGAAGTTCTAAAGTAGCATGGGGGATGACAACTGCTTTCTGGTCTGTTAGTTAACAAAAATGCAAAATATAAATGGACGAATCAGCAGGAATTGAGTTGAACGCTCCCTTCCCCCAGCCACCTGCATGGGCTGAGCACAGAAAGCAGCTAATTGTCTGCTCTGCTGCGGAGATGAAAGAAGCTGGTCCTACAACAGGAAAGGCTATTGAACTGCATGAAGGTGGTAAATTATCAGCACTGAAAACCTTTTGAGTTGGTATCTTTACGTGCTCAGAAAGTACGTTATTTGTACTGGTATTGACAGCGCTGATGAAACCGGCGTCTCGTGACATGAGTCTTATGTTTCAGTCCCTGTAATTAAGAGGTCAGTAAAACTGAAACTTGGTTTATAAAACTATGCCATTGCCCTGTTTGGGTATAGTCGAAGGGTGTGTTTGGTGAGGACAGGCCCTGTTAATGGCTTTATCTTGGCCCAGCTAACGAGCTGTTTGCAGAACTGCTCTGATTTGCAGTGGGCAGGCTGTAAAGCAGCCTCGTGTTTGTCCATTTTCCTGCTAGCAGTTCCATTTGCAGAGTGCAGGCAGGAGCAGGCTTCTTGCCAGCAACAGCTTCATTCAGATTAGGGCTTTAGTTCAATTATGTCCAATTAACTTTTATTGCAGATAGCAGTGATAATTACTTGCAAGTCAATTTTTTGGCTGTGGTTATCCCAAGGCTAAAGTCTGAGCTTGATGGATTTTAATAACTGAAGTGACGTGTAGCTTTTCCTTCTTTTTTTCTTCTCCAGGCCTCAATTAGATGAAAGGTCAGAAGCTATGTAAAAATCCATCTTACGATTAAAGCCAACTGTTCTACTCTTCAGCAGATGCACAGTACTGTGTTTTAAAATAATCTCTTGGGACAGACCTAAAAAAAGGCTTTTTAAACTCTTCAGATCATAACCTTGAGCTCGCTGCTGCTTTATCTGAAGAGTGAATTTGATGGAGCTGATGGCACACGTGGCAGTACCTGGAGCCGAGAGCCACCGCCTTGCCCTTTTTTACTGCACTGCATCCTGTTCCAATTGCTCACCTAGAAGTCTTTAGTGGTAGCCCTTGGGCATGAGGAGTGTGATATGAACAATATTCCATTTAAGTGCTGTTATCCCAAAGCTGCTTCATTTTCTTCCCTGTTGAGCACTACCATCCCAGCTCGGAGAGAAGGAGCAGAGCTGCATTTAAATTCTCTCTGCCTTCCCCACCAAACTAATTTTGTTGCCTGAGTAACATTATAAATGGAGGTCAGCCTAAAAGGTGACATGGTGTACAAGCAAAATCATAGTTAATTGAACGGCAAGAAGCAAAAATTGATTTTGATCGGAACTGTTGCCGGACTGTACAAAAGGTCCACCTGAATGCAGAAAGCCAAAGGTCCTGTGTTGGCAGGTGCTGACGGTGCACTCCCCGTGCTACAAAAGGCGACTTTCCATTATTCAGTTTCCTATTTATTTATCCCCAAGTACACTCGATGCTGTTGTGATTTATTGCCATTTCAGAGGACAACCTCTCTGCCCACTATTTTGCAGTTTTCCATTTATAAAGCATTAAGAGGATGTGATACCAGCTGGTGATGAATACAGTGCTAGTTTGGTAATTTTCTTCCAGGAAACAGTAAGATTTATCTCTGGCTCCTCAGCAGCCCTGGGAAAGGGCCATTCTGGTAAGTGCCCAAGAATAAAGGGGAGTTTTAGGGCTGGAAAAAGGCAGGAAGCCTGCAGGATCAGTCTAGACACTGTCAGGCAAGGCATGGCTGACTGGAAGGAGTTGTATTGAACGCTGAGGTGGGCAGGAGGGTTCAGTGTCTGCACTTGACACGAACAAATCTTTGAAACCCCTAGATTTTGGGTTACTTCGGGAGAAGCCAAAGGAATGAATCTCCGTGGTGTCGAGCAGCCTGCCGGGGGGTAAATGAGACACTGAAGTTTCCCTCAGAGCATGAAAATTGGCCCGGATTCAATTATGTTTCCTGGCAAGCTCTTGCAGACATTTGTACCAAAGAAACTTCACAACCCCGAGTTAGTTTTTGTTGTTGCTTGCAGCATTTATAAGTGCTGAACTTGGCATGTGCCGCGTGCGCCCGGGGGGGTTGCCGTAAATCCCGCCGGTGGCTATGGAACTGTGGCTATGGAACTTCACGGGACTACCGTGGAACAAGGAGCAGAGGAGAAGCGAAGCGTATCAGCCAGCCACAAGCCTTTAACAACCCCCACACGGCTTAGGGGGGACCCCAGGGTGCTGGAAACTTGGAATAGTTTGGAGCTTTTCTTTTGTGTGTGGGTGGATGCTCCCGCTTCCTCCTGGCCTCCGGCTTTGTGAAGGAGCCCGCAGTTAATCGTGGAATTTCAAACATGCGTGTTTACTTTCAGGAACCTAACTTTAGACTTCACCAGCTTGCTTTCGTCTAAACCAGCTCAGTTTCCCATATTTCACTGGCCAGGGATGGTTTGTGGGGAGTGTTTCCTTTGAGTTCTCACCCTGTAAGGCCTCTTGGGAGCTTCAGAGGCTGGCGTATCTAAAAACTTGGCAATAACTACATATGTGGGCTGTTTATATAATGATAAAGCTGTGTTAGAGTGTTAGAAATTTCCTAGTAGTACTGAGTTGCTTTACACCTAGGTTTTAAACTCTAGGTTATGAAAGTAACCCCTGGCCTGAGAAGCACTGGGTCTGGCAGAGGCAGTAAATATCAAAATGTTGAATATCAGCCAGAAAATAATACATTTTTGTCAAGTACAGAAAGGCAGTTATCATGGTAAGTTTTACTGGAACTGATTCCTGGCTCTGCAGGTAGGGTGTCCCTGGGCAGTGGGTGGAGGTGAGTCCTTCCATCCTACCTGGTGAGCCTTGTGGTGTCACACACTGTGCTGCCAGGACTGAAAAATACCCTGATGTGCAGGTGAGGCTGAACGTAACAGTCATCGTGAGAATGTGCCAATTACCCCCAAATCCCAAGCAGTGCAAATCCCTCTTAAGCTTAACATGCTTTGATTTAATTATTAATAAATCTTGGGAGAAAAAAATTCTGTTCACGTGTCTAAACCTGCTATTTTGTACAGCATCCTACGTGTGCTGTTAAGATTATATCCTGCAGCCATATTAGATTAAAATCACTTCAGAGAGGGATATTTATTTATTTATTCCTATCTAATGATTGTTTTCCTCTGGAAATATACTTTATCTTTCTATATGTATATGTATTTTCAAGACAGAGCTCGTTGTGCTGTGTTTGGCAGTGTACAGAATCAGTTTGAAATACAGTTTAGAAACTTCCAAGGTTTTCACAGTTCACAGCCCTCCATTGCTGGGTGCCACAGCCTACTGGTCAGCTGATTCTCCAGTTTGCAGCTAATGGTTTAGATGATAGTGTTAGAGTTACCTATACCAGCCTTTGCTCAGGAAGAGGCAGGTCAGAAAGTAATAGACAGGTGCTGAGTATATCAGGGAATAAATGTTAATTAATTTTTAACAAAAAAAATGAATAGGGTACTTGTGAAGATATTTCACATGCTTTTGTTTTCAAGTACTGAGATCTCAATTTTGAAAACCTGTATTGATTTCACAGAGAACAAAATTTGAAGCAGGATTTTAATTATAATATGAAATTCAGTGAGAGAGTTATGGTCAGCACTTCTACACAAGTCTGAATTTCTTTTTTTAATGCTCAGCAGTGACCTAGATGTCATCAATTTGGTTACTGCAAATCAAGCTAAAAGAGCGATTTTATGCTTCTACTTAAAATTATTTTTGTAAGTCCAGTATTTCCTTTAAAATTATTATTGCCACCCCAGTCTTTTATGGACCTTTGGCATTACCTAAAATGATTATCTGCCTGTGGGAACAACTTGCCTTTATAGCTCTCTCTGAAACACTGCTCTCAGTACTGGAGCTAAAGCTTCTGTAAATACATGTTTTGACCTTCAAGGAAACGCTGCTGTCATAGAACAGGAGCCTGGCTATTCTGAGGTGAATGCTGTGACCACTCTTAATCACTTGTTCTCTCTCCTAATGTGCCATTATCCTGTTTATTGCTGTGTGCACCTCGCTGGGGCACTTCAGCAAGAGGCTTTCTCAGAGCGTCACAGTGTTCAGGCTCTAATGAGCGTTAATGATGGAGCAGGTGAGCAAACCCTCCCCACATCTTGCTGTCAGAAATGCTGCTCCTTCAGTCAGAGAGCAGCGGTGCTCCTTCAGGGCTGCACACAAACTTGCCATCAATCAAATAACGTTTTAGACACCGACCTCCCTCGCTCGTGCAGGGACGGGAAGTGATCCTGGGCTGGCGTCAGACGTTGCTGGAGTAAAAGGTGGATGCTCAGGTGAATATGGGAATAGTGTGATCTGTTTTTCTGTCTACAGTGAATGCTCTTTAATTTTGTTTGTCTGCTTTTCACTGAGAAATAGGTCTTGTTTTTGCCAGTCTTCTGAAGTTGATGAAATGAGGAAAAAAGGAAAATACAATTATTATTTTTTTCTTGCTGACTGTGGGTGTTTCTGTTGCTTACTCAGGTAAAGCTCTGACAACTCACATTGGTTTTGTCTTCTGATTAAAAGGAGCTGGATTCTTGTTTTGTCTTTTTGGTCTTGCTGGGCATGATTTGGGATGAGAAACTGCTGCCCACGGGCTGTTTGCAAAGTTTCACTGAACGCTGCATACTTACAGTCACGAATTAATCTCCTCTATAAAGGTCGAGCAACTTTTCAGTTCCTCAAGCAATTCCTTGATGTTGTGGATGTGACAGGTCTTCAGTCATCATTTCTGAGCATCTTCTGAAAGACTCCAAGAGTTCCACCTCCTTCAGAGAATCAGAAAAAAATCCGGGTTTATTTAGATTTATTTTACAAGGTTTTACAACTGCATATTTTGGACTTCTGGCAGTGTAGATTGTTGCTGTCTCCTAGGAGTGAAGTGGAGAATGATACAAACTTGTTCTGTTGGTGATTGCGCTATCGGGTCCTGCACCTTGGTGAGGTGGTTGTGAGCTTCTCATAGGACTGAGTTGGTGTTACTCTGTTTGGGTAGGATGAATGGGCAACAGCATGGAGTTGTCAGGCTGACATTCAATGCCCAAGACTACTTTTATTAGTCACAGTGGCACCCAGGAGGCTCTCTCAGCCGCACACAGTCAGCTTTTAAGAGCACTCGCTCAGTGAAGGTGCAGAACTTTTCATAAATTAATATTTGAATGAGATTTCTTGGCTGTTGGTTTAATCAACCTTTGCGTGTTGAACCGAGGAGATGCATAAACATGGAGCTAATGAACTGTACACAGTGAGTAATTGCTGTGCTGCAGGAAAGCTTTAAGTCCTCGCTGTTCCCTCCACTGGTGCAAGTGTTCCACGGGTGGGCTGACTCGTGGTGGTGGTCTGAGGTGAGGTTTCAAATTAAAGTCTTTAAAATGTCCCTGCAGAACTCTGCTGTTGGAGGTTTCTGGAGCGTGAAGGTGGCAGTGCTGTCCAGGACACAGCGCTGATGGTGTTGTGTCAGTGTCATCCAAAGGTTTCTCATTGTGCCATCCTTGGCAGTGGGACTCTTTCAGAAGTGGCCTCTGAGAGGTTTTGACAGCCGCGGCTTCTCGTGTCAGGCTCGAGCTTTCTGCTGTGCCCCTTTAGATCTTTGAATGCCTCCCTAGCTGTGTTTTAATTGTGAAACTATGACTGAAATTAAATCAGCTTACAACTTTTGAATCTTTCAACTCTTCCCGTGTTTTGGAGGTCATGTAACAAGTCCCAGCACCTTTCCAGGAGCTCCTTGGATGTTTTGCTTTGTATAGCAGCACTGATGCTTGTGGAGATCAGGACAAGGAGAAATCAACTGATTTCCCCAGCTTGGCTCCTCCACCCTCTTTCCCAGAACTCTGTGAAATGTTGTGACTGGCTGAGGACAGGGAAGTTTGAGCAGGGGTTTGGACCAGGTGGCCTCTAGAGGCCTTGTTCCAACTTAAATCTCTGTCTATAATTCCAGTAATGCTGGGACACTTGGAGCCTCAGTTATCTTTGTTGCTGGGATCCCCCCTTTGTACAGCGATGGTGGGATTTGAAGGGAGTTGTGCAGTGTTTCTGTATAAAGAGCTTTAGTGCTCTATGTGTTCATTGTGATGTTTGATTTCCTAAATACTGAACCAAACAGAAGAGGATGGTGGCACCTCTGCAGCCCCTTCGTGCAGGAGGCACATCTTGCCATTGTCTGCCCCAGAACCGTGCGGGTTATTGAGTCTCCACTGAAATGAAGGAAGTTGTAGCCATTCATCTTTCAGCCTAATGGACCACAGAAATTACAAGCTGTAGCATGCAGCTTAATCTTGCCACAAGGCAGAGTGCTGCATACTTTGCCTTCAATTTATGCATGCCATGCCTTTTTATTAAATGTAAAAGAGCAGTTGACAGGGTTTCTCCAGAGGACTTGCCTTGGCTATACCTGGTGGACAGCCAGTGCATTTCAGCGTAGTGAAATGAATGATGGTGGTTTTTTTACCGTTCATAACAACCACCTTTGAAATTTGAGGGCAGAGTTATGGATTATTCTCTGTGTGTCAAGCAGCAGAGGAGAGTGAGACAGCTACTTTGGTTTTAACCCTGCAGATGACCCACTTCTTGAAGTGTTTCCGTTACCGTTACGAGATGCAGTAAGGACTGGAGCAGCGGTTTCATCTGTGCTTGGTCAGGCCTTCACCCAGGGATGGCTCTTTGCCGCTTTCTTTTCTCTGTTCCTCCTTGTATTATAACTTTGAATTGTCTCTCTGTTGTTGCAGTGTGCAGAGGAGTGAATGCCCCATGTTGTGTTAGTGCCTGTCTGCCATGCTGGCCTGCCTGCCAGGACCAGGCGACCTCTCCTTTCAGCTTCTTTCTTACACGCAGATGAACACTGGACTTCAGAAATGTGAGTGACGTTTTGTCTGCAGGATGTGGTTAACTGTTAAATCTGGCTCTGGGATAGCTGTGACATAAACATTTAGGATACAGTGGAAAAACTGTTTAATGTAGAGTCTTTCTTTTGTTATGCCTTCAAGGCATCCATCCGTAATGGCTCTGAGAAATGGCTGTGGAGGTTCACGTGTGTGCAGCAAGCTCTCCTCTGTTCCTGGCTCTATAAAGGTTAATTTTAACCACAGCAGGATGCAATGCAAGTGAGGTTCCTTTGAGATTTGTGCCTCTTTGCTGAAAATGTTTTGTGCTAAAAGTGTGCCAGCTGATTTGCTTCTTAACGCAACTTTTTCCTCACTCTTTTTCACTTCCCTTTGTGTAATTACTCGTAGACACCGATAAAAGTTGGATCAGTCTAATGCAAAGCTTTTGAGGTCAGCAGCTCTTGCTCTACATACCTGGGGCTTATACTACAAATATTAGTGAGCTATTCCAAATTACTAAAGTTCAAAGTTTCCGTCTTCTTTCTGATGTCTCTTTGGTGCCTCTGAAAATACATCTGCAGAGTGCTCTGATAGTTCTTTTTTGATAACTTCAGTCATTTTTTTCATAGTTGTGCTGGTGTTCTTAAGAACAACTTGTACTTGGGAATGTAAGTTTACTGGCTAGATATTTTTTTAACTCTTACTCTGTCTCTTTATCACTGAAGTTACACCTTGATTGTTCGGCTAAAAACTTAGAATTACCAAGATTTCAGCGTAAGATCTGTGTACTTGGTCCTTAGGGCTGTGACCTGTCTCTTGCATTTGAAATGTACGTTGGGAGATCTCTCTACCCTCACCTTGCTGATGGACTCGTTGCTCTTTAAAACCAAGTGATTTACAGTGCAGTTGTAGCTAAATTGTTCATATAGTGATGCTACTGGAAATAGGTAAGATAATTTTGCAATTAATTAAGGGTGACATGCTGCTGGTCCTGCCAGAAGTGACTGACAGTGTTCATGTACACGGGTGCTCCCCCACAGCACTTGCACAGCACTTCTGCTGACTCCGTGGGCTTGTAATTGTAATGCCACTCAGCAACAGTAATACTCTTTGCTCACCAAAGGACTGGTGATGGCATGAAACTGGGCATCCCCCTCCTTTCTCTTCCCCATTTCCAGCGTCGTCAGCATTGCTGACGTGCCCGTTCCAAAGGCTGTGGGGTAAGAATGTGCCCAGGTCTGTGTATTACAAGAAGTCTCTTTGGCAAAGCTTGGTTCTGAAAGCAAATCATCAAGGTTCATGTGAGGGCAGCTGTGCATAAATCAGGTATTTGCTAATTACAGCTTTACAGGGTGACATGCTGGCGTGTTGGGCACTTTCCTCACCTGATAGTACCCGATGCTGTTCCGGAGATCTGCTGGTCCCCGTGCTGAGAGCATTGCTGTGTCCTGCTCAGTGGAGAGCTCTGGGAACTGCATTTAGAAGAATTTAGGACATAAAGTAGCTGGCAGGCACGGGCTGGCAGTGGTAATGCTCAGCTGTTGGGTTTGTTCTGATTTAGATGGAAGATGAAACTGCTGGTACAGACCTCGCTCACCCCCACTGCAGATGTGGGTACGATTAATTGGTGTGTTTCTCTCGTGCCTTTATATGCATGAGTAGCCCAGCCCCTGGCCAGGGGAAAGCTGAGTTAATGAGCATTTCTTAATGAACAGTGACTTGTGACTTTTGATGGGGGGTGGAAACGGGCTGTAATAATAGTGCTGTTGCTTTTGTAAGAGGCACAGAACTCCACAAGATTGCGTTTCTTCAGACTTACAGTGTTTGTATTAATAATTTTTAAGTGTAGTTTTCTGGATCAGACTTTTTATTAGTGCTTAAAAATCCACATTAGCTCAATTACCTTCTTTTTCTATATTCACTCTCAAACAAGAGGCTTTTTCTGAACAGTGGCCTGTACAGTAGGAGTTTGGTAGATCAATACGCACATATTTTTTCCTTCAGAAACTGATGATTACAGGGCTGCCAATTTCAGTATTTTTTGTTGAATTTCAGCCTGAATTCAGGCTAACCCTGAAATTCATCCTTATCCACCCAGGGGATTTCTCACTGACTGCATATTGATATTTTTTCCTTCTTCCCAGTGTTAACCTGACCAGTCAATTGGGATAATTGAGACAGGAATTTTGGAGCTGTGTCTGCAGCTGCTATTGAATACAGAGGCAGTACCACACGGTCTGGGAGAAAAAGGGTCATTTTTTTTGACAGTGGTGCAAAATAAAGCAAAAGGTGCTTCTTGGAGAGCATTTTGTTGGGGGGAACGTGACAGAGAAGAGCAGATTGGGACTGAACACATGATCTTCAGCTAAATTGAGGGGTTTGTAAGGGCTCTTTCTGTAAAGCCTGTAGAGAAACTGCTGAAATTGAGATTTTTATGCAAAAGATGGACCCAGCTGTTCTTGGCTGGTCCCAACCCTAGTGCTCTCATTAGGGTAGGAATCCTGGAGGCCTCTTTGTATTTTGTTTAATGTTAATGAAAATTTAACCATAGACAGCTTTAAAAGCAGTGGGTTTTAAAGCCTTAATGTGAAATGCACTTAAAAGATGTTACATTAGTGCTGAGGTGAGGCAGGGAAGTCTGTCTCATTCCATGACCAAAATAGCTCCAGCGGTGAGACGTGCAGGAATGTGACCGGAGGAATTGGTTGCCACGGGATTAGTGGGAGTGTGAACTCGCAGCTCACCAATTTATCGGGGTAATTGCTCACAGGCACAGCTTTGTCGTATAACAAACATGAAATAATTACTTTTCAATAAAAGTATTCTGCCTTGCATTCACCACTAGGGAGCTTCCCGGAGCTCATCCCATTGTTTTCCTAATGAAGCTTCTTCATCCGCCATCGCCTCATTATTTTATTATGTCCTGATCTGGAATTCTTGCACACAAATGATGATATTCCAATACCAGCATTTTCTTTCGGACTGTTCCTGCAGGTTTTCCATGCACCAGAACTAATTGTTCTTTTCTGGTTTGTAGGATATTTATATGGGATATTCAGACTCTTGCTCACTCCATAATGCCTTTCTCCTATAATATTTTACTGCCTTAATTATTAAAGTCATGGAATCTTGCCTGTGAAACTACCAGCAAAGCACATTTAAAGCATCACATTGGGGCACTCAGAAATACATCACCTTCAGGCCTGAGTAGCACAGCTGAGTTAGTCTGGAGTAAAAGGAGCATCATCTTACCTGTACACAAACCAGGCACTGTTTGAAATGGTGGTTGGGTTCAGGAGATCCCATCCAAGGGATTTAAAAGATAGTTTGCCTTCAGTAGGATGCCAGACTTGTTGTTGGGGTGTCATTTAAGTTTAACTGAGGGGTTATTTTCTCTCGTCAGAGGAAGGAGTTCTTCCAAATTTGGGATTAGTGGCATGTGTCTAACTGAAAGATGCAGCCTGTCCAAACATCCATGTTTTAGCTGCTTCCTGAAAGTTTCCATCACAATTTCTGTAAAACAGAATGCTTGTATAAGAGACTATTTAGTATGTCTGTTCAGTATTTGTATTTACCACCTAATTTTATGATCTGCCTATGGAAATGTAAACCAGGATGGGAGGTTTTGATGGCCAAGCTGTCTTAAAGTATCTGCTTAATTTTTTGTCTGAAAATAGAATGTGACAATGGCTGTAAGTGTACTATAAACCATAACACAGACAGGTTCCTTTGTCCTTTGCTTCTTCTCTGGTTCATGGTGGGTTGCCAGGGTCATCTCTTGGGGAAGAAACAGACCTTGATGAGTGTGGGCAGTGCTAAAAATAAAGGTTGGGAGTTCATGAAGGCCTTGGCTGTTGAGGCAAGGCAGTGCTGGCAGATGCCATTTGGAGGCTCCTCTCTCTGCTAGGAGCATAACAGCTCACTCAGAAGGGCAGATACGAACCACCTGCCTGCAGGGGCAGGGACGGGGATGTGAACAGAGAGGATGTTTGGGTTAATATTTCCTTTGATTAAGAGAAAGGGATGATATGTGCCAGTGTCTGGACAGCACAGGGAGTACGAGTATAATCAGCGCTGTGGTACGTGCTGTGCTAGAGATGTAAGACAAACTGCTCTTAAAGCTTCTTATTTCACAAAAGATATTTTTAATATTTCTATAATTACCCCTCCTTCTGGTTTCCATCCTATTTTCCATTTTCTGACCTTTTCTTTCTGAAAGTGAGAGCTCTTAGAGCAGAGCTTCTCTCCCTCACCTGTGACGACTGGAAGCTGCAGGATGCAAAGTGAGAGGTGGCTGGTACTCATGTATCCAAGAGTCTTTTGGAGGCAATTTGCTTGTAAGAATGAGAGCTGGATTTTCAAGAGGAAAGGCTGTTTGCCTGGGAGCAGCAAGCTCTTTGCTGGAGCATTAGATTTCCTTGGGTCAGAGGACTAGATGTGGGGCTGGGGTGCTCTTGGGCTGCCACGTTCCCTGTTCTCTCAGCACAGCAGCAGATGCCACGGGGATGCTGAAAATTGTAGCAAAAAGGATGGGTGTTTTTTCCCAGTAAATCGTTCACAAGGGTGAGGGGGTAAAAAACTCAAGCAAAAGCAAAGTGGGATTGTCAAAGCTGCAAGCCATTATTTGAAGATTATAAAACCAGCAGTAGTCCCATAGGAGTTGGGCAACGGAGCTGTGGTAAGAAACAGTCCAGCTCTCTGCTTGGAATGTGATTATGGCAGAAGAGGCACAAGCATTTCCCTAGATTTCTGAAGTTGTAGTTTGAGCTTGTGGGCCAGGTAGGTGTCTGGTAAATCAGAAGAAGTGAAACCACACCTCTGTCTCCAGAAGCCTCTTGTCTGTGTCTGGGGAGTAGCATGTGTTTAATCTTGAGAGGTAGTCACATTTTGCCGTGTGATATGGGCATGTCCTTAGCAAGGTGCCACCCTGAAAAGTCAGCTGAAGAAATAATTGCAAGCCATAAAATAATGAGCCTCCTTCCACTTGCTGAGCTTGGACCAACAAGGGCCTCCTAATGGACAACAAGACACTCGAAGTGCTTTCAGATGTCTGCACCTAGGAAAGGACTCTGGTGTAAATGGAGGCTTCAGCTGAAGCTCTGATGTGTATTGAGTTTGCAGGGCAAGATTTTGGTGATGGGGTCTACAGGCTTCTGTGAGAAGCTGCTTAGAAAATTCCCCCGTGTCCAATGGAGCCAATGCCAGCTGGCTCCAGAACAGACCTGCTGCTGGCCAAGGCTCTGGGATAACAGATTTAAGAAGGGAGAAAAATCTGCACAACTGCAGCTGGAGAGAGAAATGAGAATATGTGAGAGGAACAGCTCTGCAGACCCCCAGGGCATGAAGAAGGAGGGGGAGGAGGTGCTCCAGGTGCGGGAGCTGAGATTCCCAGCTTCCCATGCAGCCTGTGGGGAAGACCATGGTGAGGCCCCTCTGCCCCTGCAGCCCGTGGAGGTTCACAGGGGAGCAGAGATCCATCTGCAGCCCATGGAAGACCCCATGCTGGAGTAGTGGATGCCTGAAGGAAAGTTAAGCCCAGGAGGAAGGGAGGGGTGGAGTGAAGGAGTTTTAGGATTTGGTTTTACTTCTCATTACCCTACTCTAACTTGATTGGTAATAAATTAAACTAATTCTCCCCAAGTCAGGTCTGTTCTGCCCCTGACAGTAGTTTGTGAGTGATCTCTCCCTGTCTTTATAATGATCCACAAGCCTTTTGCTGTGTTTCCTCTTCCCTGCCCAACTGAGGAAGGGAGTGAAAGAATGGCTTTGGGGGGCACCTGGTGCCCAGCCAGGGTCAGCCAACCACAGTCTGGTTCTCACCTCAGGATTACAGGGGGCTCATGTTTAATTCATAACTTTCTGATTTTGAATCACACAGTAAAGATACTGAGAATGGCTTGAAGAGCCGTGGGGAGGCAGCCTTAAATTAGGGAAGTAGAAACCACAGCTCACCACCACAAACTGTGAGAAATATTTCAGCTGGAGACAATCCGATGTTTACAGCACGTACCTGTTTTTGTCCAACTGTACACATACTCTGATGAGAACATTGGTTTTTGTTTTGCTCCCCTGGGCAGGTCTTGCCTTAAGCTGAACTGGGGCTCGTGTTGGTCACCAGGTAATAAAGGGAATGAGGCATCTGGTGCACGACCCGCTGGTCTGGGAAGATGAAGTTTTCTTGCCTCTCGATTCCTTGGAGATTTTCTACCCTTGCTGTGTGACTGTCTTGCCTTGGGGTTGATCCCTTGCTTACCAGAATTGACGAATTTCCTTTCTCCACAGGGGACACTACACAGAAAATGAGATCTGCACAGTATCCTACCCCAGCAGAATTGGATGCTTATGCTAAGAAGGTCGCCAACAATCCCCTGACTATAAAAATTTTTCCAAACAGCGTCAAGGTTCCCCAGAGGAAACACATACGCCGTACTGTGAACGGACTTGATACTTCGGGCCAGAGGTACAGTCCCTACCCATCTCAGGCCACCACAAAAACGGGCCTCCTGGCCATAGTCAAATCTCCAGCAAAAGGAATTATCAAAGACTTTGACGGGACACGCACGCGCCTGCTGCCGGAAGCGATGATGAACCCCCCTTCCACGCCCTACGTTGCACCAAGCACTTTAACCCACCCCCAGGCGCTTGCTCGCCAGCAGGCTCTCCAGCATGCACAGACTTTGCCGCACCCCCAGGGCATCCCGCAGCACCCTCAGGGTATTCCACAGCCACAAAGCTTACCGCACCCTCAGGGGATCCCGCAGGCGCTGCCGCACCCGCAGAACATGCAGCAGCCGCAGGGCTTGCAGCACCCTCAGACCATGGCACACCAGACTCTGCAGCACCCCCCGAATCCTCTGCTGCAGCCGGGTTTACATGGAAGCAGAAAGATGCCGGATGCAGATGCGCCGCCGAATGTGACCGTGTCTACCTCAACCATTCCCCTCTCTATGGCTGCCACCCTGCAGCAGAACCAGCCACCGGACCTGAGCAGCATTGTGCACCAGATTAACCAGTTCTGCCAGGCCAGAGCTGGCATTAGCACTACCTCAGTGTGTGAGGGACAGATTGCAAACCCCAGCCCTATAAGTCGCAACCTGCTTATCAATGCAAGTACCAGGGTATCTACTCACAATGTCCCTACACCCATGCCTTCCTGTGTAGTAAACCCTGTCGATCATGCTGCTGCTGCTATTCCTCCTGCCTCTGTTAATGTGCCCATGGTCAATATTAACAGGGTGCCGCCCGCCTACCAGAACGAAATCAAATCGGTTGCGTGGAACCAGCACCAGCTTGCACATCTGCAGCAAATGTGTGGGGATGCTGCTGGGCCTGCTGGACTCGCAGGGAAGCACCCTCAGAGAGAGATCGCAGGGCAGAGTTTTCCTGGCAAAACTTCCAACTACCCTCAAGAACTGTGCATGGGCCAGTCGTTCAGCTTGAAGCCCCCCATCGAGAAGCCAACGCCTTCTCCGCCTGTGAACGGGTTGCAGGGACCCTTGCCATATACCAATGGGCACTATTTCCAGCCCATCTGGAATAACATTCTGCCCACGCCCAACAGTGACAGCTCTGGGTCCCAGGACCTCGCCATGCCTTTCCACGGGGGACAGCCAGCGGGAGCGCCGCTGGATTGTGCAGGAGGAACTCATTACAGAGCTGGAGCTGGCCCATCCAGCCAGAATAATGTGATGCAGACCATGGATTACCTAAGCGGGGACTTCCAGCAGTCCTGCTTCCGAGACCAGAGCATGGCCGTGCTGGGAAAAGTCCATCGGCCCCCCATGAACCGAGCACCTGAACCAACCGATAGTCGAAATCTTCATATTCAACACCCAGGGTATAGATAGGCTGCAGTCACTTTCACAGACAAAAATTATAGGTTTTAGTCTTAATTTTAATTAATAAGCAAGGCGTTTTTAACTTGCAAACTTGTGTGATCATTATAGTAACCATTGGAAGAAGACATACTGTATATTTAAGAGCTTTGCTTACATGTTATCTCTCTCTCTCTCTCTCCTTTATGCATCAAATATTTAACATGCCTTTTGTGTCAAAGAATTTCATTACACTACTTCACGCCACAGCTGTTTCCTCACCGCAGAATCCCCTTTGTGCAGCTTTTGCCTTCTGCTGAGCAGCTCCTCGCTGGACTGAGGTTGAGTTGCTGCAGGGTTTCACAGTTGCATCTGTTCACCGGCTCCAGTGAGAGCAAGGTAGTGTAGCTGCTTCCATTTCCATCTCAATTTCCTCCAAGATTAAGAGCAACAGAATTTTGTCAGGGAGCAGGGCTTATTTTCAACTCGAAAGCCCATTTCATTAATGCATTAAACATTGACCATTTGCACTGTCTAGAGGCCTGTGTAATTGAAAAAGAGCCTACGTCTGAAAAGAGACAGCTAGGGGGATGTACTTAGGCATTAATACAGGAAGAAGCTTTCCAGCTGTTTCTTGCCCACGTTTATCATTTAGACTTTGTCCAAAGTCAGAAGTCTCTGGCAGATTTTTCCGACACTTTTGTTTTCTGGACAGGGTGTGGAGGAGGGGGACGATGAGTTAAGGACACAAGGCAGCAAGGCTGCCACAGGGAGCTGCCTTTCTTTTTCATCGTGTTTCCCCTCCCCACTCCCCTTCTCCAGTGTCAAAGCTAACCTTGTCTGAACCCCTCGCTGCTAGGAGTCTGGCTGTCCTGATGTGAAGGGAGTCCAGACCCACTGACAACTCCAAAAAGGGTTCAGCCACTTCTCTGGGAGCTGGAATTAGTGTCAGGGTGAGGAGATGCAGCTCCATCCTGTCCCCGTTGCGGCAGCAGGATGGGAGGTGGTTGATTTTGAAGCAAAGCTCCTCTCACGAGCCACTGTGGGACCAACAGTCCCATGTTCTTCTCCATCAAAACACCCCAGCATATTTAATGGAACAATTCTCCTCTCTGGGAATTAGCGAAGCTATTTATAACATCCCTTTTTCCCAGGGTCTCGGTGCCTAACTCCTTCTGTTCCTTTCCCACGTCACTTCCAGCAGCTAGTTGAGTGACTGTAGGACACTAACTACTGGGTAACCTCAGCATTGTGTTCTCCTCAGTGTACCAAAACATCCCTTTCCTTTTTAACAGCCGAATTTATTGTAAGTAGAAAATTCCTCATCTCTGTTAACGAGACTAATACTTGAACATAATGATCACAGTCAAGTTTGGAAATTAAAACAAAAAAAAAGAAAAAACTAAAAAAAAAATAAATAAATGCATTGATTCTTTCTATGTACACTGGCTAAAAAATATTGCTCTACACTGTAACTTTTAAGTGTAATATTTCTGTATGAATGTCGCCTGGTAGTGTGGGTTTGAGTAGCATTGTGTATGGGTGAACCCACTGGCCTCTGCCATCCACTGGCCTCCCTCACAGCCCTTGGAAAAACAAAGCCTTAAGTATTTGCTCCTTGAACTTTCCTTAACGAGCATGGTTTAAAAATCTTAAAAGACATCATACAAAATTTAAAAAAAAAAAAAAAAAAATTAAAAAAAAATAACAAGTTTTGAAGTGACGTCATAGTTGGCTAGAGATTCTTAAAAGTTTTTCGTAAATGGGAAAATTAGAAAACATTTATTTGTATTTTTTTAATTTAGACGTGTAGTCCTGGGCTGTAACAAATATTTAGGTTTCAAAGCTTAGCAGAGTACGTTTCTGACTCCTTGCGTAAGTTAGTACACTTATATCATGTCATTATTTAAATTCTTTTAAGTGTACTATAACCCGTTCTTTAGTGGTAACTCCTTAGCAAAGTTAAGCAATTTGACTAAAGACGGATTAAATTATGTGTTGGCTTGTGTTGCCTTATATTTAAAAAGGAAAAATTGCCTGATTGTGTTATGCCAAATGATAGCAACATGAAGTCCTAATTTATTGTTTATAATCGTATTCCTGCAGTCTTTGTGAAAACTGGTAAATATACATCTATGAAAGAAAGAAAATCCTGAGGCTTTTCATGCAATATTTTTCTGAATCCATTCTGTTGGAGCCAGAGTTTGAGTCTGAAGCTGCTTCCCTTACAGTCACCCCGTCGTCTTCCCCGTCCCTTCCCCAAACCCAGCGAGGGCTGTGCTCTGACCTCACCCCTCCCTGCCCAGTCAGTCCCTGTAAGGTGTTCTGCTACCTGAGTACGTACCTTTTTACTAAATAAAACCTTGGCATCTCCTTTGTTCTGTAGCCTGCTCCAAATCTCAACCCAGACTGTTATTAAAAGCTAATTTTTAACTCCTGCTCTTCTCCCGAGAGCCTGAGCAGAGTCCTGTGCCGTGGTGGTGGTGGTGGTTGCGGTGCCCGGGAGGTGTTTGTTGGTGTTGGCAGCACGTTGTGAGTTTTTGGGGACTGTTCTGCACGGGCAGTCACAGGTACAGCCACGGCCTCCGAGGCTTTGCCCCGGTGCAGCAGGACCGGGAAGCAAAAATCCTGCTGAGACTCATCCAGGTGGGACATTGCTTGAAAAATAAGAATCATTTTACTATTAAAATATACTGAAACCTTTCCTGTTGGTCTGGGAGTGAGATTTTTCTTTAAACCAACCCTTTCCACCTCTGCAGCAGCCCCTGTTGCCGATGGACTCTCCATCCTTCTCCTTCCCCACTGCATCCCTAAGGAGAAACAAACACTGACCTGCCTCATTCCCAGGTACAACATTGGGAGCAAAGGGGGATACGCCATGTGGGGGTCTGGCCATGTCACTGGCACTCACCAGGGTCAGGACGGCACGAGCAGAGGCCGGTGGTGCCATGTGTGGTAGGAGCTGTGCCCTGCTCTCCTGGAAACATGGAGAAACCTCCCATGGTTTTATTTCACGCTGTGCCCAGAGCAGAACTAAGAGTTACCAAAAGGCCAGGGATGCTCCTTCCCTGAGTTTTCTTGGGACACCCATACCAGTGTCACCAACCTTTGGGGCTCACACTGCTGCTCCACTTGTCCGTCTCTCCATCCATGGGTGCCTTCCCGACCTCTGGCTCCAGCACAAGGCTCTGTTCCCTGCTGGATCCTGGGTGCTTGCAGACAGTGGCTCTGCTCCCTGAGGAATGAGTAAGGCTCAGGTGTTTCCTGAGATACTCACCCTCCCTCAGCACTGACACCTCTCCTTCCCAGTCCCACAGCAATTCAGAACATCGAGGTGCACATTGGATAGATCCTGGGAGGGATAAACATGAACGTGGTGTGAACCCTTCCACAGGGAATCTTCCGTCTCCACCGTGTCCTGTGTTTCGAGCAAAAGCTTTGAAGCTGCTCACTCTCAAGCCCAGTTTGTTACAGCCCAAAGTTAACATTTTATAAAGACACTTGTGAATTTTCTTAAAGCCTTTCAATATGAGATGTCTCTGGGGGCCTTGGCCGCTCCCGTGGAAACCAAACAGAGATGTTTGCTGGAGAGAACTGGGAATTGCTGCTGTATTTCATTAAACCACAGACTGATGATAAACGCTGCTACTTATGTGCCACGGGTATCAACTCGATTTTTTTTTATTATTATTTTGTCCACAGAAAAAATAAAAAAAAAAAAGACCTGGTCCCTCTGCCCCTTCTGCTGGTTTTATGCAGTGTGAGTGTGTGGGGCTTGCATGGCCTTGGAGCCACAGGGTCCCAAAGGGGAATTTGGGGAGGGATCTCCATGGGTTTCTGGGATAGGAATGCGTCAGGCAGAGCCTGGTGCCCTATCTAATGAGAACATCAGGAAGGTCTGGGAAAACAGAAGAGGTGAAAGAATCTCAGAGCCAGAAAGGTGCTGAAATAACAATTAAAATAGAGGAAGAGAAGGAGTGAAGGAGGGGGTTTAAGTCCTTACAAGGTGAGTTTGGATATTTTTGATGGCTGTGAGGGTTGAGGCTATCCCACACCCTGAAGTTCTGCTTTTTTTTGGTGGTGGGAAAGGTCTTGTGTGGCTGCTCCAAAAGCTGGGCTAGAAGAGACTGCCCTGCCGAGTGCTGACTGAACAGTTTGTATAACCCACTCATTATTTATGCAATCCTAAATACAAAATTTTGAAGGGGATTTGTGGCATTTGCAGACCCCTTCTGGAAGAGAGGCTGTGAGGGCTTTTTTCCCCTTTCCTCTGATGATATATCCACACTTTCATCTACACTTTCATCTCCCAGGAAGACACAACTCAAACCCCATCTCCTGCGCTCGCCGCAAACCTGAGGGTCAAAATCCCTCTGATGCCAAACTAACGCTTTTCCTACTGTTTCCAGTGTTCCCCAGATACTATGAATAATTGGTTCCCACATGGTTTTCACAGAATTTGGGCTAAACCAGGCAGCCTAGCCCAGCTAAACTGAGCATCTGTTTGCCTACAGATGCTGCCACATCCTGCTCCAGCATCCAGAAACACTGAGAACAGCTGCTCCATCCCTTGGAGCTTCAGGATCCTCCTCTCGTTTGACTTGAAGTTTCTTCAGTATCTGGTTTCTTCATCCATCCCCCCAACAGGAAGAATCATTTCTGCAAGGAGTTTTTAGGAGACTTTCTCATCATCTCTGCAGCCAGTTGGACCTGTTGACTGGAGCAAAGATCTGTGGACAACGAGCCATCAGGGACTTGGTGTGAGCAGCTGCTGCTTCCGCTGAGGATTCACCTACAGTCACAGCTGAGCTGGAGTCTTCAAGTAAGATCCAGCCTTCTAAAACTTTTCCTTTAGGGCCAAATAATGTTTTCTTCCAAGAATTTTGACCCAAGGTGGGCAACACCCTGATGTTCTCCGCAACACCAGCAGCTCTGTCATCTCGTGATGAGGCTGTTCGGAAAGGAACAATGCCGTGGGTGCTGCAAAAAATCGGAGCTGGAAAAAATGTCCTGCTCAGTGTGGGGTCCTGGGGGGTTCCCGGAGTGGAGGAACCAAAGGAAAGGGTCATGTTGCTGCCAACTCCTCAGGCCTGAGCTGGAGGAGCACGTGTTGGACGTATTCCAGCAAGAGCTGCCTTTTGGATGCTCTTTGGTGCTCAGCAGAGCCAAATTGCAATGAAATTACTGGAGTATTTTATCTGTTTAAAGTTAATTTCAGAGCAATTGGGTACAGCCCGTTGACTCTGCTGGGGTGGCTGCAAGCCTGAGGAATGCACTGACAGTGAAGTGAAATAACATGAAAAAACTGCTGTAAGTCCTTGTAAACCTTCACTGCCCTCAAACCCCTCAGTCCTGGGGGGCAAAGGGCTGGAGAGGGAGGGGGCCTGGCTGGGTCTTTATTTAATTATGTGCAAAGCAAATTTGACTCACATTTTTCTCCCTATACAGTGTCAATGTCTGGTTTTGTTGTCTTGGTGAAGAGGCCTCAAGAATCAGCACAAAGCAGGGCTCTACAGCCTGATCAGATGAAGTGGTTTTGCCAAAAATCCTCCCTGTCTGCACCCCAAAGGTGTCAAAAGGATTTGATGGTTAGATAGATAAGGGCATCTCCACTGTGGTTGGGGTCTTAGACAAGCAAAAGTCCAGCCCCTGCCCTCCAGGTGGGGTCTCCCTTGATTTTTGGGCTATTTAATATGGTTTTCCTCTCTGTTTTGAGCCTCTTTTGAAGTACCTCCCGAATAAACCTTCAAACCAACAAGTTTTCCAGGAAGTTTATTTTAAACTCGATACGTGAGGCTAAATTTAGTGGCAAATCAATTTGTCTTCCTCTCCTCCTTGAGCATTAAGAGCATCTCCTCCTCCCGCTCTGCAGCCCAGGCTTTGCCGGGGATTGGCTCCCCCATTCCCTGGGAACACGAGAAGGTTAAGAGGTGCTCGAAGATCCGGCTGACATTTCCAGACGTGCCCAGGTACGCGGAGCTGGAGCGCGGTGCCCGCCGGTGCCTGTGCCACAACTGCCAGAGCGGCACCCAACGGCAAAGCCCACAGTTACGGCTGGAGATGGAAGGGAAAGGGAAAAATCAACCCCTCTCCCCAAAAAGCAGAGGGTTGGAAGTAGGTCCATGAGGTGGGGATGGGGCCATCCCGAAGCTCCTGGGGTTGGTTTTGTCCTCCTTGGTTTCCTGGCACTGGGCTTTCCCTGAGCTAATCCAGGAGCCGCTGCCCAGGCTTCCTCCAGCATTGCTTCCCACGGCAGCTGGAACTTTTAGCTCCTAAATAATACATGGATTTTGATTTCATTTTATTTATTTTAAGGTAAATGGTGTGACACAAGGGGCTGACAGCACCCTGCATGTGGCCTGGCAGGAGGGACAGGGCAGACCCTGTACTCTCTGTGTGTATATGTGGCTATGTGTGTGTGTGTATATATATATATGTATATATATATATATATATATATACACACAAATAAAAATATATAAATAAAATGTATGTGATAAAGACAAAAATATAAAAACAGAAATATGAAATAAAATAATAAAATTTATGAATACTTATAAAATATTAATAAAACGTATAATAAAACCAAAATATATGTAAATAGAGAAATAAAAAAGTTATATAATATAAAAGTTATATAATATAAAAGTTATATAATAAATACTAAAATATTCTATAATGCCATTATATTGATATAATTATATGTAATTTATTATATAATATTAGTGTAATGTATTAATATAGAATTATATAATAAATACATTTTAAAATATTTTAAAATGATTATATATGAAATGTGTATGTTAACTATGAAATAAAATATAAGCATAAAATACATAATAATAAAACATAAATTATTAATGTACATTATAAGAATATAAATCTCTATGAACAGTGTCTGACCGATGCTCCCCTCTCCTTCCCTTCCCCTCGGTCATCGCTCGGTCCCAGCGGTGAAACCTCCGGTAACGGAGCAGTTCCTGCACTCACCGCGCGGCGGCGCCACCGAGCCGAGCACGGGGCACAGGGATGGGCTGGGACTGGGCACCAATATAGGCTTATACTGTGCACTGGGATGGGCTGGAACTGGGCACTGGGATGGGCTGGGACTGGGCACAGGGATGGGCTGGAACTGGATACCAGTTTGGGTTGGCACTGGGCAGTAATATAGGGATGGCACTGGGCACCAGTACAGTGTGATACTTGGGCACCAGTTTGGGCTGGCAGTGGGCACCAGTATGGGCTGATACTGGGCACCAGAAAGGACTGGCACTGAGCACCAGTTTGGGCTGGCACTGGGCACCAGTATGGGTTAGCAGTGGACACTGATACAGGGATGGCACTGGGCAGCAGTACAGGCTGATACTGGGCACCAGAATGGGCTGGCAATGGACTGGCAATAGTCACCGATTTGGCCTGGCACTGGGCACCAATACAGGCTAGCATGGGTCACCAGTATGGGCTGGCATGGGCCACCAGTTTGAGCTGGCATGGGCCACCAATTTGAGCTGGCACTAGGCATCCATATGGGCTGGCACTGGGCACCAGTTTGGGCTGGCACTGGGCACCAGCACAGGCTAATTATAGGCACCAGTTTGGGCACCATTATGAGAGAACTGTCCATCATTACGGGCTGGCACTGGGCACCAATATAAGGCTGGCACTGGGCAGTGGTGTGGGCTCATACTGGGCACCACTATGGG